ACCAAACTGAGAGCTCTGTGGAATTGTGTGCTTCATCTCTCTAGACACATTCATTATCACGTTGCAGATGTTGGGATGCAGCTCCTCAGGCTCCATCGCTTGAGATTGGATTGATTTCGTCTCCTTTTCTGATATGGTTTTCGCAACTCTCCAAGATTCACTCCAAGCTGAATTATCTGTAGCTTTAGATTTCATATGAAGCTGCTTTTTAAAGTGCATCCAAGAATTATTCCATGGTTGATTTTCCTCATTAGCTGTGGGTTGAATTAAATCATATTTAACATCTACTTCTTTTACAGGCTTCGTTGACTTCCAGGACTCATTCCAGTCTGATGCGATTTCCTCATTTTGATTGTAAAATTTGTTGCAATCACTTTTATTTGTGTTTTCGTGACACTCTTTTCTTTTCTGACTAAATATCCAAGACTTTTCCCATTCTGGAGTGACCAGGTCTTGTTTAATGTGTTCGGTGTCTAAAGCTTTGCTGAGTTTCTCCCATAGAAACATGTAATTGGAGCTCATATCGTTGTTGGCATCAAACCCAAGATCAAACCATGGTTTTCCATCAGTGCTTGGCTGAAAATTGAGAAACTTCCATGACTGCCCCCAGTCGAACGCACAAGGACTTTCTTCAGGTTGCGGCAAAAGTTGCGAAAACTTCCAAGACTTCGCCCACACCATCAACCCCGGGCAGCTTTCATTGAGCTGACGTAACAGGGCCTGTTTATTGGCTTTTGTAGTCTTTGTCGAGTCCACCTGCCTTTGAATCCGATTGCTCTGGAAGCCTTGAGGCCTGCCAAGGTGCGTCTTTTTAGCCTTGTGTGCATCAAGAGTCGATTCTTCAGGAAGCTTTGCTTTTCTCTCCAGTCTTTTAGGGGGTTTTATCTTGGAGGACATGCGCGCCTTCCAATCCTGATTGATTCTATGAAAAGTTTAATTGGTACGGACAACAAACGAAAAGACTTCTCGTTAATTATGAAATGTGTGTTTCTTTTGTTTTAACAGATTATTTAAAGATGGCTGCTGTTATTAAAATTGATATTTACACAATTAAGGCAATTAAAGTTGACGCGACCACAAGCTCATTATCGTTCTGAATGGCCTTATTATGTGCAAACAGAATAGGCAGAGAGGCAGTTGGGATCAAACTGCATTCATGCAATATTAGAGTTACAGTAATTATGAGATGACTCAGAGAGCTGTTCTTGTCTTCTTCAGAATTTATTCTTTTCTATGGCAACGCTCAAAATGCATCAATGAACAGCTTGTAATTATCAGTGTGAGAAAGTTTTTTCCAAGCAGGAAACTAATAATTACAGTAATTCTGACATGGCATGAGTGTGGCAATAGCATGTTCATAGATATTACAAAAGTATATGGAATGGAATTGGTTAAATACAATTACATAAACAAATTGGTTAACTATCAACAAACCCCATATGGCAAAAAGTATATTTTATGTGGCCAAAAATATATGCTAAATATATGTTGTAAACAGTGAAGCTCAATGAAA